ACACGGGGTATCTGACCAGAGTGGCATGCATAACAGCACTGAGCACATTAAACACTTCAACAGCTCCTTCTGATCGCCTTGATGATATACATTAGATACATAGCAGACCCCGTGCTTCGACTTGCTTCAGTGTCTCCTTGAAATGAGGCACTCTGAGAACTAACTTCATATGTGAAGGAGAAATATGGATTGCTTCCAATGCCTCGAGTGTCAGTTTACAAAAAACACAGGTTTGGCTTTTTCTGAAGAATGCAGGGTATGCTCCTTTCCTCATGGGATCGATCCCCTTTTAAAAAAAAGTCTGAAAGTCTCCATTGCAGGGTGTTACTGCTCTGTAATTTATTCCACCATAGTCATATTCCTCACGTAACGTACTTCTGAATCTAAGAGGATGCAATTAAGGTGCTGAGGTATCAACTGAGGAATAAATGTCTTACTGACTTCACATCTTATGAGATGGAGGCATGGTAGGTATTACCTTTGCTTTCTTCTGCTGCCTCTTAGGAAGACTTTAAGGCCTGCAAAGGAACCTATCGCATGGAGATCATTTGTAGGCATAAAGAGATTTAGGCAGCAACACTGCCCAGAGAAAAATTTTGATTTAACACATCACATCATACCCGAATCAAAACTTAAGTTAGCAGGTTTTTATGGCTCTGGCAGAGGACGGAGTCAGTTTTTTTTGTAGAAGATTCAGAAGTCTGTGAAGGTGGACAAGCTCAAGTATTTGTTATTCTGCTATTCTATGCTTGCTGTGCGCCTACTTGGTAGCCTAAAAAAAAAATATCAGTATTTGGACTCGCAAACTGCTGCAGCAATGTAGGCTTCCTGCATGTGCTGACACAGAAAAGCCAGCTCAGTTCCTTCTCATTCTTGATGCACAAAGTCCCTTTTACCCGACGCTCTAAGGCAGCTTTGGTACTCTGCCAGGTCTAACATTTTCTAGCATCGTGCTGTCTTAGGTTTGGGGGCAAAATCCTCCAATATCAGTGTTTTCCTCTTAATTCCCAATGCAGAAAGCAAGACATTCTGTATTCCACGAAAATCCCCTTCCCAAAAACATTACAAACCACACGGGATTTTTACGGTTTTTAAGACCAAGAGCTGCAACTTACAGGGGGTTAAATTAAGTACACATACTATGTCTCTCTCCTCATATTCTGTAACAACCCTGTTGTTTTCCACTTCCTAACAGGGCAAAAATCTCCTTTCTTACATGGTTCAGGCAGCAATGGCTCATTAACAGACTTCTGAGAAAGGGCAGCCTCTGATAATACCAGCAGGTACTTCTGAGTAAAGTTTCAAAAAGTTTCACCTGACAATCTCTGAACAATCGGGTAACATCCAATTAAGATTTCTCCTCTTAAGCAAATACAGGCTAGATAAATAGTGATGCATGAAAAGTCCTTAGGGAAAACAGATAATTTCATCCACATAAAATAGTTCAACTGATTAGTTGGCCAACATCGCCACAGCTGTCACCTGAAAGATCAAAAATCATATCAAACACCTCAGAATTTCTCTATATAAAATACAACCATCTATAATGACATTTAGTATGGTATAAAAATGTTTTATCCACAGCAGTTTAAGTTGTGTTGAAAGGACAAAAAAATAACAGGCCAGAAATTACTCTTTTACCAGATTAGAGGCTTTTTGCACTTGTATACCATTACAGTTAAATTTCAAGTGCATTATTTCAGATTAGCAGATAGATTAATTAAGCATTTGAAAACATGCTAATCTGCAATTCTAATTGAAACAGACACATCCAGTTCCCCCCCAAAATCTTGCACTTCAGCTGTTTAAACCAAGCTGAAACCACAGTTTTCTTGTCTTCCCTGGTATTTTAACATAAACTACACATGCTCAGGCTAAACACAACGTTCACTTTTGCCAGCATCTCTGGCAGAAGTTTCTGATCCCAGGGTGCTGCTGGAGGACCAGTCTGAGATTGTTCCCCAAATAGATTAAGGGAGCTCCCACAAGGTACTCTGTTGGCTCTGCCATGGGCAGAGATGAATAGATGGTGAGGGAATAACTAACCAGTCTAGCTGACTTTTGAGAATGTCTGTCTACTGCCTAACTTAAATCTACATGTTTTTTTTTTACTGATGTAAGTCTTCCTTGGACAGACAGGCACTACATTTGAATCTAGCCTGACATATAGTTAACGGAACTGACTCCAGTACTGATTTCAGTATGAGTTTATAGAGGTCCAAAGATTTGCATCGGTGGACAACAGCACGATCTACGACAGGAAGCACAATAAAAATGGAAGACTTGTAAAACTTTGATGCCCAAGATAAAGTTTAGTTACCTTTCTACCTCCTGCCAACAGTAACAAGTCTGGATATCAAACAGTTATATGCAGGTATGTTATTTTTTCCACTGAAGAAAGATATTTTCCATGTTTCACTATCCAGCATTATTTCCAATCTTACTCCCTCAAAATATGCTTCTTTAGGATCACTTATATCTACCTAAAATACATCAAGAGTTACAGAATTTCAGATTTGACAGAAATCATACAATATTCAAAACTGCTTGCAAAATACCATTTCAAAGTTTCCAAAAGTTACTGTTTAACAGCAATTTACAAACATAGTTGCAAATCTGTCTGAGCAGAAATTACCTATTAGCAAACTTTCCTCAGTAGGGAACTTCTCAGTAAACGTGCTCATTATCCTAAAATCCTATCAGCAAATGAAGAAACTTCTTTAACTGGGATAATCCAAGCTGCACAGCTTGGGAATCCTGAGGTCTTAAAATATACAAACGTATACCCAATATAGGGAAAAAAAGTAAATTAAGTTTGATTTTTTTTTTCCACTTGCCAGACTAGCACAATTAGTTTCTCAAACTTCCCATATCACTGAAAATCTTCTATGTTTTAACAAAGAAGAAAGAAAAATTTTAATCTGTTTAAGAGAACATTCATAATATATGAAGCAAATCTTTAAAGTATATGCTTCTAAAGAGCTGGAAGACTTAATTACAAAATGTAGGGGGGGAAAGGTAAGAAGTTTTATTTAGAGAATGTAGTATGAATATTCACTTTCATCTTACCTGGAAGTAGACTGCAACTGTAAAACTCATCAGTTTACTGTTTCAATTGGGAGAAAATATCAGTTTTCTTTCTGCAGGTAATCCTCCAGTTCCCAAACTGCCCGTTTATCCCCATCGTATTTATGTTTATTGTGTTCTATGTTTGTGTTTGCTAAGTCCCAACCTGACACAGTGAAAGTCACCACAACCAGCTGAACCATTCTCACTACCCTATCATAGGGAGTAACTGTAGCGTAACTCAACAAATTTATTCCTTAAGATTATTTTCTGTTTTATGATTGTTTTCTAAGGAACAATGTCATATTCAGAATTTGAGTTCTTTTGCTGAAAATTAAACTGTGAGCAGTTCGGGCCTGCATTCTCAATAGGCTTTTTACATGGGTATGTTTATGAATTTACTCAAACGTTTAAACATTCACAGAAACTACTAGGAATATGTAAGTGTTTCAGGATACAAATGTGTGTTCTTTTTGCTCTGGGACTCAGACCACAAATAATAAACACAACTCAATCTGTTCCAACCTTTATCTTCAAAAACAAGCAAGCAACCAAACTCAGGAAAATTTACAGGATCAGCTCTCCTTTCAATTTACATTTACTGTCCCAACTTCCTTGCTAAGACTTCAGCTCAACATAATGTGTTACTCAAAATTGTTTTAAAACAAATGACATCCAAATCAGAGACATCCAAGACGTGCATTTCCTATCCTGATTCTGCATGTAGCTTTCTTCCCTTCTTTCTCTTTTTTTAAGCCCAAACCCAACCTTTAAGAATTACATTTCGGTATTCAAATGATTGCAATGACCTATCTTTACAGAATATTAGAACGAACATAAAGAAACCCTTTCTGAAAGAACAGCAACTTAAAATTGTCCTAGGTTTTTCCCAGATCTTCATGCTAATCCATTAGAGAAACCACCTCCAGCAGGAACATAAGGCATGACTAGTCATTGCTCGAACCTAACTGAGCTAATGTCTATTTATAATATAGGAAATTAAGGCAAAAAGCAATGCAGTGAATCTGGTAACTGGCTGCAGTGGAAATAATTTTGTTGCAAATTCTTACATTCTGATGGATCCATGTAATATAAAGAGATGTTATCCACTATAGTAGCTCCATCTTTGATGGAAACAGAACTAGTCATATCGTAAGTAAAATATTCATTTAAATATATTGCATTTAGATTTTTAATACATGGGACATCAACACTTAGAACATTTAAAGATAGCTTAGAAGCAAAACTGAGGGACAAACTTTGTGTAAGTATCTTCCTCCCCTACCTGCAGCAAAAATTTTCAGTCATATAGGGGATAAAAACATTTCTTTCTTACCAACTTTTGTTTACACATAAAAACCCCTAGGTTCATCCAGAATATATACTGTACGTTTCAATAACTCATTTTTTCAGTATGAAATAGGATCTTCAAAAAGATGACAAACAGCAGTCATCTTGAAATGATCCTCTGGAAACAAACACTACCTGTAGAAAAAGCAGGAATAACATACGGGACTATTGAGCTTAGAATTTGTGCAAATTTTTTTTAAGTGACCTTTTGTATAATCAAAATGTAAACTACAAGATTGTAGACTGAAAATTATTTTTAAAATATTGAAAAAATAAAATGCAAACAATGTATAATGTACAAGTAAATGAAATAGTAAACAAGAAACCTGCCTAGATGAAGGAAACTTTGTGTTCATAAGGATTCTATTCAATTTCCAAAAAACATTTTTGTCTAGCATACCTGTATTCACAGCATGTTCTCAAATGCCAGGTCAGATTTGGTAACAAGAGTATATAAAGAAACATCATTTGGACACACAAAACATGAAGATTAAGAGAATTTTTTTTAACCAATGCTGTAGCAATCACATTTATAATTTTTCTTATAGCATGTGATCAAATAAAACAGAAAACCAGAATGTATACATTGCTCATTTTTTAAGTAATGTTATGTACATTTTATTGCCAGTATATGCACAATGGTAAGCATAGAACTATAAATACACAATGTAATTAAACAGTAGAAAACAACAAGGATGTTACACATAACGAAGGAAAGAAAGAGGAGATACTATTTTCTTGATGTAGCTGCTAAAAAGGGCTAGCGACGAGTTATGAGAGTCTTGGTTTTAAGTCTTTACATATATTTCTACAACTTTTCCTCCAAATAAATCTCTGCAACGGCACTGCTTCTTTAACAACCACATCTTGGCTCTTTCTATTGGATTCACTTCAAACTAAAGTGAAAACAACCTTTCATGTAACTACAAGCATCTGACTTAATTTTTATTCGGTTTTGCTTTTCAGGGTTCCTAGCAAGTGAAGTGTGTAAATAGTTTCTTATGATATTTGGCTGCAATGTTGAAGAATAGAGTTTTGAATACACATTAAGTGATAATTTGGAAAAAAAAAAGTAAAGAAGATTTTCTGTAGATAGTTCTTCCACTGGGTGCTATATGCAGCAGCTCAGTCAAAAAATCAGTCACCCTGAAGAGGTAAAGAGAATTTTAGCCTAGCATAGATCATCATCCTTGGCACAGCTATTTTCTCTCTTATCAGGATGCACTTCCTACAACTAGACAACATCACAGTCAAAGGGAAAAAAAAGTCAGGGAAAAAAAAAGTTCCACCATTCCTGGGAAGGGCACTGTTTCATCCCAGCTCTCAGTTAATTAGCTTGCCGCTTATATCCAAGACCAAAAAAAAAAAAAGAAAAAAGAAAAAAAGAAAAAAGAAAAAGACAACATTTAGGGACACATTTACTTGATCTTTGTTCTCTTCCCATTATCAAGTTCATAAATACAAAGAACCATTATTCACAATAAACTAACTCTTTTTCAAAAATGGAAAAACAAACCCTGGAAATATTTCCACACCTTAATCCAGATGGGTCTTGAGGATGCTATTCAAGAAAACCATGCAAATAATTTGGTGCAGCTTTCCCAACTCATCCAAAATATATATTTTTTTTTAAATTAAAAGGTGGCAAGATCTATAGCATTTGTGACTATTTCCCCTCCCCCCCCCCATTTAAATTCAATGCAGAAAACCTTGGTGCTTTTAGGAAGATAACGAATAGTTTTCTGCACTGTTGTCATAAAATCCCATGTGAGTTACAATACAAGACTACTTGTTCCAGCAATTAGGTTGAGAGGAAACATTCTAGTGATAAAGATAAATACATACTGAGCATGCTTGGGCAGAGCACTCCATTCTGAAGCATCCTGCTTGAAGAACGAAAGGTGACAAGGATGGTTCACGTCCATCAAGTGACCATTAACTCTGCTGCTAAAAAGCAGACTGCCACACTATCACCAGGTCGGCAATGCTACCCTGAAAGGGCTGTCTTCCACATTAAGAGGTACTGGTTGTACCAGTCCTCTACTGCGCACACTAAATTCTTATTTATGCAACAAACATACAACCAATGAACAATATCACTTTTACAGAACTGGATCAATCCAGCTTTTTTTTTATAGGCATATTTCTCAATCTCCAGAATATCCCAAACAAGCTGTAAATAAGATGATGAACCACCAACACAGTGAACAAGTCTCACTGCAGTTCAGACTAGTTCAGCCTTGGTTCACATCACTTCTTGTTTCTAGCGAAGGACATGATACTCAAACAAAATAGCAATAAAAAAAAGTAATGTTATCTGCAGCTGAATAAAAGCAACAGAATTTATATTTTAACTTCTGAAGCTTAAAGCATACCTTTTTAATTAGCATTTAAAAAAAAAAATTTTAATACAATAACACTGGCAAAAGTTAATGGGAAGACACAGAGGATTGCGAACAGGATAACTGATGGATTAGATTATTTTTAAATTTTATTCTGCTTTGATCAACTGATGTTAATACTGTTTTTCCTTGAATTTGGAATAATTCTATTGCAACAGTCACATGCAGGCTGAGGACAGCCGTTGGTTAAAGGGGGTGGAAGGGAGAAAAAAAAAAGAAAGGAAAAAAAACCAAGAAAAAAGTTCCAAAAGTTGTATGTAAGAATTTTCCTTTCACTGAAGAGGGCCTTGCCCTTTCTATAGGAGACCTGGTTAACTCTTCTCAGCTTCATTAGCTTTGTCCAGACATATCTGCTGTTGTATCCCCTGGTCCAGAGCCTGTTTGGGCACGTTTGATGTAAAGGTTCAATAATTTCATCTGCAAATTTAAGCCAGAAATTCACTTTTTTTAGTATTTGCAAACTGTACAGACTACAGGAATGGTACAACAAAGGACACATTAAATGATTTTTTCTTTCCCCTCCCCAATTATATTTTACACAGTTGATTCAAAGGTACCATACTTGCCAATGAAAACATCAAACACAGCAAAATTTGTCAGAAGGAAACTGCTCAAGCTTCTTTAAGGATGTAAAGAAGAGAACGATCTAAGGTAGCTAGATTAAGATAGATGGAATATTTTCCTCAAATTACAATGCTTTCCAAACAAGGTAGGTTTTTTTTTTCTTTTAAGTTAAGGTTGAGGTTTTAAGCCTCTAGTTAGAGTTGCTGATGCTGGTACTTACTAAAGCTTCCAATACTGTCTAGAATCACATTCAACACAATCACTGCCAGAGAGTATTTTTAAGATACAACTGTCTTATTCAAAGATATACAAAATTAATTGTCCTGTTTTATTCCCAAGGATAAAGATATTCACAATTAACATAGAGCTGTTTGCATGCAAAAAACTGTATGTAAGAAATGTCAATAAAATCATAAATACCCTGAATCAAAAAGGGAGAAAGACTGATTACCATTATTATTATTATTATTATTTCAAATTAGAGGTACTGAAAGGATTGATGAAAGCAAAATAACAAGGAGGGAGAATGAATAAAACTGCTGTAACATCTACATATTACATTTATTGCTTTCCAATCAGAACTTGCATGAAAAACAAGACAAGAAATACTGATAGGAAAAGCCATGCTGAGTATAGCCATTATCACTACTACCGGGGATACAACCAGTAACTAAGCGCATTAAACAGCTGTAAGAAACATAATTTAATATTTATCTTAATGCTAAAGTTCGTACATTTGCATAAATAAAGATCTATGGATTTTCAGTTTTGAACATTTTATGACAAAGTTTTATTAATCCTCAGAGGGTTTCAGTAGCCCTGATGTTCTCATTCAAGTATATACTTTTATGAAACTTTCTGGCAATTGCAACCAAAATGCAAATGCATACATGCAATTATGAGCTAAGATTTCTTTAAATGGTATCTTTTACTTACTTTACTGCCAGTGAGTTGACTGAGATGTGGTTTTAGTTCATCACCAATTACTGCATGAATGGCTACAAGGCAGAAAACACATGCCTTACGAACACTGCTCTCTGAATTATCATAACCCTAGAAAGCAATAAAATTAACGTTAATACCTTATCAGTTAATGATTAAAAGCCTCAGAAAGCTATTTACTTATTTACTATAATAAATACATTGAAGTCTACAGTAAATGAATGCTAGTGTAGCCCAATGAAGCATTCCAACAAACACGCAAATACAGAGCGTGCACTTGAAGAGCAGGCTGCTTATTAATCACCATTGATAATCATTTTCCAGACTGAAATTAAAACCCACACACTCCTGTTCATAAGTTACACTGAAAACAGAGTTGCTGTCATGCAATAGGGGAGTACGTAAGAGAAATTGTTCTAGATTATACAGATATTTACTTAAAGCAGAAGACCACTCCATTTAGAGCTTCCTTACTCTGAAAGAAGTATTCTCTTAAAAGCTAAAGATTCTTTTGTTTACTCCCATCTCGTCCCTTAATGACTTTTGTTTCTTTTGCCACTTTGCTAGTACCCCATGCCTGGCTGCCTCACTCACATCCCCTTCTCAGAAGGCCCCTTCTCTGCCTCCACCTTCCTGCAGATGTATGATTGAATCACACCCATTAAAGACAGAAATCTGCAGAATGCAGCTGTCAAACTCTGAAGAGTCTTTATCCATCACGTGCAAATTAATGTATTTTGGCTCTTGATAAGATGGGAAAGAATTTATTTCTAAAAACAAAGGAAGAGAAACCTCTGATATCCTTCTCGTTTTATTAAACTTTCCCCAATCAACTGCTTCTTTCCTCTTGCCTCCCCCAAACCCCAAGTGATAAAACCCTACAATTATACACAAATACAACATGGACAATTTCAGACCGAATGATTACAACTTGGAAAAAGATATAAACAACAAAACCCGATCTTATAACTGAAAGTATCTACCAAGCTTAACTATAACCAGTACTTAATATCCTACTGAGATTTCATTTGAGTCATAACCACAGTTATAATTTAGCCACCTGCCAGTCAAAGAGTTTGTTCCCACTGTCCGAGTTATTTTGGGTCAAAGCAGCCATCAGCTATCAGACAAATAAAATCCTTCGTGAGAACCAAGTGATACTATTTTTAAAAAGTCTTTGCAATTCTTATATATAGTTTCTTTTGTTTGTTTTTCTTTCTTCTCTCCTTACCTGTATAAGACCTGGCACAATCTCTGGTAAAAGCTGAGTAAGGGTTTCTTTAGATACTCTTTCTATGACTTTCGTCTGCATTTTGATTGCAGCCAGATTAATGGGGTAATCTGCAGTTTGGATAATTGGACAAAGAACTTTGATGCACTGATCTGGGCTAATGGAAGTGGCCAGCATGGAAGCAGCTTCTTCAGCAGATCTCACCACCTATTGAAAGAATAAGTAAAAGACGTGGAAAAATTATTTACAAGAGACTGTTACTATGGCCTGTTACCTAGCAGTAATGGTCTTGAGCATAAAAATTTCCTACTAAGAGCTCTACAAAATTGTAGAAATATGTGAATGAAGAGCCCTTTGAAAATCTGTTTACAAGATTCCAACTGTTGGTTACACTTTCCTAAAAACAAACTCTTACCAATATCCTGTGGCTAATCTATGTCCTCAGCAATACATGTATCAGTTTTTCAAACCTGCTTGTTGAATCGGATCTGAAATGTCTCTCTCTTCTGCAATACCCTCCAACTACATACTGAAATACCATCACCTTTGTAATTTCTTGTGCTGTCATTTGTTATTGCTTGTTAGGTCAGTGATCACTGACAAGACATGTTTTCACATTCATCTCAAAAACATGTTTAATGACATGCCTAAACTGCTACTTCTAGAAGTCAATCTAGCTGTTTTTCCTCCCCTCTAAGTTCGACAGAAACTATGACAAGAGAGTACTTTAAGCCTGAAGAATATGCAGAACAAGCAGAACAAGAGTAATTAGGTAGGAAGACAATAGGTACAGAAGCTCAGGATACAGCATGGGCACAACATAGAAAATTCACATCTGATCTTCATATTAGTGCAGCTTTGTGGTGCCTGCCATCTAACAAGACAAACCGCTGTACAAAATCAGCAGTTTGTACATCAATGATGTACAAAAACTTCCATACCTGATTCTCTCCGTCCTTGTCCTCTTTACACTCTCACTCATATACACGAAACCAAGAGAGAGAAAAAGCACAGTAACAGAGAAGGAAAGATGGGGACAAGACACTGTAATAAATACAGTATATGGAACAAATTAAGAGGGTGCAGCGAAAAGAGAAATGAGTATCAGATGAATGACAGAAGTCATTGGTATGGGAGGGGGAACTGTAGTCAAACTTCAAAACCTGGAACTCCACAGTAAGTTCCATACAGAGTATGTGACCTTGCATGGGGAGGGCAAGGAGAAGATGTACTCATTTAATAGTAAACCTGGATTTTTTCCATAGCATTAGTGACACTGATGTGAACTGTTTAATATTGTGGTGGTTACTGTATTTGTGTTTCTTATATCTACATGCATTATTCTTTATTATGTATGTGTGCATAACAAATACTTCTGAGCAAGATTACAGTTACCCTTGCACTTCTGAATCCCCTCACTATTCTCAGCCACAATCAGCTCCTCCCTTTGACATGTTCCCATGCATTCTCCCCTAACAACATTCAAAGCTACGTTCTCAAGTGGTGCAGAGCTGGCTAAAAATGGAAAGGGTTGACAATTCGTTGCCATGTTCAGTCCATCTCTCAACCATGAACCTTAATGAAATCCAAAAGCTTGTTGTAGAGCTCCAGGACACCCATATCTGGCTTAAGATGTCATACAAGGAAAAAAACTCCCTTCAGTTACTCCTTGAAGAGCTATAATGGCACATCGTTGGTTACTATGTCCTCTTGGACAGCACCCAAGGCAAGTGTTATTAGGGCTGATATTAAGCATTTGAGAGCTTATAAAACTGCAGTTCTTTTTTTTTTTTTCTTGCATACCCATGTTAACTAGTAACAGCTGAATGCTTGTATTAAACAAATTATTTCCTCAGTAAGATCTGACTAATTTCTCAAACATTTTTTGGACAGCTGTTTCATTTTGTAATAATTTGTCATAACCTCGAACAGAATAATTGATTACTAACCTCCTTATGAGGGTCCTTGTGCGCTTCTAATGTCTTCATGATTGTGAGCTCTGCATAATTCTTAAACCTTGCTGGCTGGTTTCTTAGAATTTCTCTTAGAACTTTCAATGCCAAAGCTCTAATTGCATGCTAAAGATTTAATATTAAAATAAATGAGTTATGTATCTTCAGACAGACATAAGTTTTAACATTTGTGTAGCAGCTGGACGAGTCTTTGATAATGGAAAAATATCAGATTATGCTCTATGCATATATACAGTATGAACCTAGTGTTAAGAAATAAAGCTAGGAAAAAAAAATCTCCAGTTTCTCACTCTTCTCAATCTCTCTTTGCAGATAATTCAGGTGGCATATCATAAACACGCTGCTAACCTAATTGCGTTATCGATGCTACCCAGAAGTTAAGTTGCAAACAATTTCACTCTTCACAAGTTCTGATGAAACCTTTAGCATCACATCAAGCATATACACTTTTGAAATTTTTTTTACAAATTATTATTTTTTAAATGAAAAACAAGTATTAGTGTCTTTTTGATCCAGTAATTTCAAAAACATGGCCTTGTAGAGAACAATTACATGGAACTCAGCCTCTTCACAATGAGCATTACAGTATTTTACAAATGTATTTTTAGACACTTTGCCACACCTGATGTTTTGATATTCTAGGTTCCACCAGGGGCTATTAACAGATAACCTTTGAATCCCAGTGAAAAACTTTTCATTTAATTTATCGTGAGGGAATCGACAAATAAGCATACTTGAGAAGGTAAGTATTACTGATGCCCTTTTCACCATCAGGGCATTCAGACTTCATGACATTTTTGTATTTCCACAGTTTTTTGTTTTTCAAGACTAACTGGAATTTGTGCCCTTCCTACAACCCATACAAATTTCAAAGATCCTGAAAGTAAACTATGTGCTTTGTTAACGTTCTTAACTGGATTAATCTGAATATACCTCTTTATCTCCAAGTGTTTCAAGCAGCAAAAGTAGTATTGTTTTGAAGTGCTCATCCCAAACACCGAAAGACTCTTCCTGAGTTAACTTCATGAGCTCGTATAGGGCAGCCTTTCTTTCCTCAACTCTCTCATTATGGTTTGATAACTCTTTCAGTAACTCTGCAACCAGATCAGAATGGTCCATGGGAGGCTCTGTCAAAAAGGAATACACAAACACAGATCTCAGATCACTGCAAGTAAATATTAGTGCCTGCTGTACAACTGAAGGATATTTTCTAGGATGGCTAGCTGGCTTTCTAGCATGCTTTCATTTTTCTCGCCAAATTTGTCTGCAAAAATTGCAATTTGGCTACTACATTTTCAGTGCAGCCAACATTGCTGAACAAGCTTACAATCGCCCAAAAAAACCCTACGATGATATTGCAAAAAACCCACTGTAAGCTAGTTTACTGCAAGTTTTTATGCTTGCAATATCCAAAGTGGTAAGTACTCTGCATCCGTTTAAATCTGATCTATACACAAAGCGCTACCTCTTTCATATGACCCTTCCATCCAAGATGATAAATTTGTCTTTTCTCCATTAGTATTACAGGATTGCTTAGACTTTTGTAAGCCATGGTTCCACAGCAATAGCTAGGTTGTGGGGGGAAAAAAAAATGCACAAGAATGGTGCTTGGTACAAAATAGCTGAAACAGAAGCAAAGCAAGGCCGTTAGTCCCACAGAGATTCCCGATAGCAGTCATTATGAGATGGCTCTGGGTTTTAGTTTTGATTAGAGAGGATTCCGTGATTATGGAAAAATGCATTAGTAACACGACCTATATTTGTAAATACTGGACTGCAAACAGAGATCTGCAACCAGTCAAGAAACTTAAAAATGGTCTTAATTAAAATTAAATATCAAGTTGTTGCCTTTATTCCATCATCAAGATCCATTTAGCCTTTAAGAAAGAAAAGCAATATAGCTTCCATCTTTGCACTGAGACTTTTGGATAAATTAACAGAAACACACATTTTTTTTCTGGAAAAAGGTTAAAATGCAAATGTTCCTGCACTGCATCTTTCCTAAAATCATTCCTTTTATCAACACATGAAATACATTAATACATGAAATACATAACAAATTTATTAGGTCATATACAGCCCTTGAACATCTTATATTACTGTATTCAATATTGTAACTTATAAATGCTGTACAAAGTACCTGTACAAAGAAACAAGTATGAATACCACATATCAAGTAGCTCAAAATCACAAATCAGTTACCTTAAAAATCACACTGGTTTTGTACCCAACATTCTTATTTGCATTCTGTTTTGCATGAATAATCAGGAGCACGAGCACCTGAAAGCAGAAACTTTTCTTCTGCGAGCACTTCTACTGCCTCTATATTAATGCATGCTTTGCAGACTCTCTAAATGGATCATTAATGTTTGCCTAAAGGACAGACTGAAATTGCATTAGGCAGGTTATTAATTAGTACAGATGTGCAGAATGGACAATCACTTTTACAGAAGCAAGATCATTACTTTTATTACCAGAACTATTACATTTGTTCTACCAAACTGTGAGGATTACAGCTATAGAAAATCCTATTTTGGGGAATGCATATTGACACATAATTAGCAAAACTATCCATATCTGTTTGAATAAAGTTATTTTCACTGTGGAATTATCAGAATGAAAGAAGTGGCAACTTGTATGTATGGAGGGAAGGGGTAAAGACAGGAGAAGGTAGCAGCCATGTCCATGCATGAATAAGGGGAGGAAAGAAGCTCCATTAGTGGAGGAAATAGCTGGAATTCCTGGAAAACATGAAGACAACCAAGAGGGATGTGCCTTCACAGCCTGTATTTTCCATTCCTCTGTATGACTTTGCACCCACTGTCTCATTGCCATTCTCCAGATAAGAATGGAGACGTGTAAAAGAAGTCATATTCAAAGTCTACTCTCAAAATTTCTTTTTCAGAAAGAAAACAAAACACAAATGAGGAGGAGCAGATGCAACTCCTTCATTTGAATGAATTAAAATAGGCATTAGAGAGAGAAATATTTGATGAAGAACAGCTCTTCTCAAACCAATCAAATAATATCCTTTTGACAGGATAAACAGTGTAGGGGTTAAAAGGGAAAAGGTAGGTGTGTCCTGAATTTAGTAAAGGTTTTCCTACTGTCACCCACAGCATCTTAATACAGAAGCTATGCAAACATAGTGGCCAAAAAAGCCAACTAAGTGGGTGCAAAACTTGAATCACTTGCAGGGTGACTGGACTATAAATGGCTTTCTATTAATCTAGGAGTGATGTCCCTGCTCAGGTCTGTGCAGACCCTGGTTCTGTGTGATGCTTTTGTTAACGCTATTGAAGGAATAAGGAGACCACTTATAAAATCTGCAGACAACATCAATTTAAGAGCAGTTGCAAACATTCCGGAGAACAGGATAAAAATTGAACATTATCATGATAAATCAGAGGAATGGTCTGAAAGAAAAAAGATAGTAAGTTTAAGGCAAGACACACAAGCAGAAATCTTAAGGCCATATACAAAGTGGCAGGTAAAAAGGAAGATGTTTGGAAAACACAGTCCATGGAAGGTACGCTGAAATAAATAAGCTTCTTTGAAGAGGAACACTGTTTTTCAACCAGAGACTGTGGACTGCTTTTAAGGAGTCTGGAAGTGACTTAGAAAGCCAGGTTTCCCTATGCTTCGGATAAACAGCATCTTCCTTGGGGGAAAAAAAAAGTGCTAGGGGTTGGAAAATTTAGGCTGTTACTCTGAAAACCTTTTTACTATAAGAGGCAAAACACTCAAATGGCCATGTGGGGCACACTGTGGCATCTCCTCCACTGGAAATTTTCAACTGTTAGACAAACTGTCTGCAGAATACACGTTCATGCCTCAGTGCTGTTAACAGGACTATATGAGCAGCTAAGGTTTTCCCATCTAGCCCTGTATTTCTGCATCTTTCTCCCAGTAACACGAGAGGATAGCTGGGAGTGCAGTAAAAACAGGACTTTGTGTCATTAACAGGCAGCAATTCCGTGGAGGTTCTGAAAATTAAAATCTAACGTCCAATGAGCACTTCAGGTTTATGGGAAAAGCATGCAACTCCTAACTGAGGAATTGTAGGCACAAAGTATTTTGCTGGGTATATCTTTTTTCATGCAGACTTTTTCAAAGTTAACTTAGATGAAATTCTAAAAGTAACACACAAATGACAGAACGCACATGGTATAACTAAAAACTAAGGGTGAACACAGGAACAAATGCAAGTACTTTGTTAAGATCCATTAAAGAGCAGACCTAAATAACGCATTGCACTACTCCTCCAGCCAGGACAAACTAATACTGGATGGGGATGCTTCACTCCAGCCAGTCCTGAGTTTTTACAAAACCAGAACATGCTGGCGCAGCACACACTACATTTGGTTTAATGCAATATCCAGAAATATGTTGTCAGAAGGTATAAAGAGGCTTATCCCATGTAACAACAGGATCCCTGTAATACAGAATCTCAATCGTAAACTTGCTCTGTATGTGGATGACAAAGGTATTTAATTATTGATATTTACATGACATGTAAAAATTTGCTTTCCCCTCTATTTTTTTCAGAAGATAATAATTGGCGATATGCCTCTTCATTAAAAAGAAGAGAAAGCAAAGAAATGCACCTTACTTGGATTTGTTTTTAATTTAATGTAAAGTTAAAGCCAACTTACAGAATAGCTGAATAAAACACCATGTCAGAAAATAGCTTTGTTTTTCAAGAGTTTCTATAGCACATCTTTGCTGGATGGCAGAAGCAAAAACAGTCAGAAGGGGGAAAATTCATTTGTCCCTCACTATTAAGAAATCTGTTTACTTAAAAACTGATTTTAATCTGTAACTGAATATGAAATATCAGTTATAATGAATAGCAGATTATGAAAACCACCTACTACTTTTTAAAATAACGATAGTACTGATACTTTGGAACCTTCCCAACATTTAGATATAAAAAATTACCCAAAGATATACTGAGAAATATCAAAAAGAAGCTCTAGAAGCCTACAAAAAAACAGCCCAAGTTCCTGGATTTACATGGGCTAGATGAACCACCTTCCTGGTAAAAGCTGGTTTGGGGTTTTTGGGGGTTTTTTTAGATTTGTTTTGGGTTTGGTGTTTTTTTTTTTTTTTAAAGAATGTTTAGTCAATAGAAAATGTCAATGTCATGTTTCAAATACAAATATTTTACTAACAAAATACTTAAGCTTTTACCTAATTCCCAAACTGGTTTGATCCAGTTTTACTTCCTTGCTGTAATTCTCCCCCCCACCCCGCCTTTAAATTTCTATCATAAAGCAATCTGATAAGTAAATTTATATTGACAATACTGCTACAGGATGTGCTACCAGAAGTATACAGTATCGTTCAGTATTTATCTCATTTTTACCCTTAATCTCTACAAATACCAAGTAATCCAACAATGTCACTCAAAAGGATTACTTACAAAGAAACTAATTCAAAATACAGTATTTGGAAAAACCTCTCAAAGAAGCGGCACTGGTGATATGTATATTGCTAATAATAAATCCAGAAACTGAACTAAAAGGTGGAAAATCTCACCATTTTTCTTCTAGCACAGAATGCAATCTGAAGCTTACCATCAGGAAATTGCTCTGCATCATCATCAAACATGGCTTCTTTCAAAGCAGATTTATTAAATGAACTGATACCATCAGAATAATTGTATGGGTTATAATCTCGTGAACGTGGCGAAGAGTGGGGAGGCATTGTGTTGAGTAATGATGTTTTGTTATCAAGAGCTGTTCGGCCTGTATCGCTCACACCACTTCCTGCTCGTAGGTCTACTATTCCAGAAGCACTGCAAATCTGCAGGAAAAGAAATATCATATGAGCACTTGCACTTTTCAATTAACTACATTACTAATTCATCTATGTAGCAAAAAGTTCACAAATTTCAAAAGGTCCACAAATTTCAAAAGGTTCAAACTAGCCTTCAAATAAGAAGTCTTAGAAACAGTTCCGTAAACTTTGCTTTCCTTCCAAAAAAAAAAAAAAAAAAGGAGGAAAGTATACAAAGTCCAAAAAAAAATTCATGAACTGGAAACAGCTATCAGTATTTTATCTCAGAAGTTTGATGCTAAGAAATTAAAAACATGTTTAAGTGCATACATATTTGGTAAGCTCAACAAATCTGAAAGCCAAAGTTCCACGAGACAGAAGTTTAAAACACTGCATGTAGCACTGAAAAACCCACAGGTTTTGTAAGGAATAAAATAAAACCTTTGGAAAAACGTGTATTAAGGTGCAGACCTCTCAAAAACTGAATTCCAGCTGTTTTGCAAGATGATCTATTTTTAAATTGCTAACATTTTAAATAAACAAACAGCTAGTGCTACTTAGAATTAGCATTTATATTTCCAAAATGTGGTTTAAGACTAGGAACATATTTTTCTAAAGCTCTGAAGTAATTTAGGAGAAACGTCCCATTTCAGAAGTCATAACATAGAAACCTACTGAAAAAGATGCTTTATCATCTGTAATAAATCAGTCATTGGCTTGGTTTGCTGATACTCACCAAATCGCCATCATCTTTTTTGGAATCTCGTTTTACAGGCTCATTCATGTCTTCCTGACTACGAAAACTGAAATTCTGAATGGCTTCAGTGACTCCACGAAGAGAGCTGTAAATATCTTCAGAATTCATATTTTCAGTGTCATAGTCAAATGCACTGTGGCCATGGAGAAGGACATAGGAATTAAGATGGATTTATTTTGTGACCCCATGTTTTTAAATGACATTAGCATGGGACTACAGAGACTCAAGAAATATTAAAAACATTACTATAGTTGGCTCTCCACATAACAAAACTGTATTATGGTACATGTTAGTAAGGGTATTGCCACTGACAGAGAAAGCACTGGCAGTAGCTAGCAAAGGGAAGGGCTACATTATGTAGCAGCATCTGCCTGAAGAAACATACTACTTTTGCTCTGTTTTACTCTTATGAGTATGAAACAACTGGGATTTTTACACCATTCTCTCTCTCTGAAAAAAAGTTCCAAAGTAAGGAGGACTGATAAAACTCAACAGTTTTCACAGTAAGTTGATTGCTAAAAGCAAAACTACAAAAATCCACTTTGCTGGCAATATTGGTACCACAAAATTAAAGACCAGAACATTTATGAACTACTACTTTTTTTAGTCTCCCCAACATTAAGTGTGGTTTGATGACATAGCTGACCTATTCTAACATTTGCTAGAGATGAACGCTTCCGTTCCTTCTCTTGCTAATCCATTTGCACTCCAAGGTGCACAGCCCTTCCCACCTCAGGCCAGCCCTGGCACTTGCCAGACCCTTCTGGGAGGTTCAACAGTTCACTGTACTGTCATTCTGTGGAGGGAGGGGGATTATTTTTCAGCATCTGTTACGCTGTGCAAAATTCGCTCCACGCTTTCACTGTTGGGGTTATAATTTTGGAGAACATGTAATGAAGCCTTAGATGCAGAACTGTAGCAACACCAGCCTACATTACCTTGGTGACAAAGTGTTCTGCGATGTATTGGTTGGGGAAGTGAGAGGACTTGACCAACTTGCTGGGGAGCGTGGAGTAGGTCTTGTTAAAGGACTTCCCATTGATCCCTGGAGGAGGAGAGGTGAGAAGAGATAATTCAGTAGGACTTCAGCTTCCCTTTTAACTTATTATGGTATTTATTTATTTTCTAGTGCCCAGAAACATTTAAAGAGCTTCTATTTAATTTCTTGGATTGGCTAACCAGTTACTAGTAACTTCAATCACGTATAACTTTGAAATGAGCAAAGGAAAAGATAAACTACTCTTAAAAAGCACATTCAAACTTATTAAGTCACTTGGAAGCAACATAGACTTCGAAAGTATCATTCTCCGGAGGAAAAAGAAAAGGCATTCCATGAGGAGTGATATCTACTACTACAACAGACTTCTACGTAGGATTTGGGTTGCCTCCCCTCCTCTACCAACCTCCTCGCTCTCACAAATAACTCTACTGAACTGGACTTATGTTCAAAACACCAATAACTTCAGAAAGAATAGTAAGAGAAGTGTAGATACCTGACCACTGTTGCCTGTGTTCCGGAGATGATTATGGAGAAGCTTTGTGGCTCCATCCTGAAATGTTTTTGGTAAAGCACCCAATAGCATTGTAAACTCTGGAGTGTTGAGTTCAAAAAGGGAAATCAGCACTGACTGTGCAGCCTAGAAGAAAAAGATACAGATTGAAGACATTAATTTGAGCTTCTAAAGTAATTTTATCAGCAAGAGATGCTATAATGAATGATAATCACAAAACGTTGCTTAAGTCTTGATCAAGCTTGAATAAAGATGTTAACAGATGTGAACAAAAGTAATTCATATTTGCTGGTAAGCTGGAAGTTCAGATATTGATAAATCCAGGAACACAACAATGAGCTTACACCTTGCACAATCATTCTAACAAGCAGTCTTTCAGAAACATGCTCCTCAACCCCTGATCCCTACTTACTAAAAAAAGTACTGAAGGAATTAGCAAAATGGCTTTTAAAAGGTTTGGCAAGTTGAACAAATTTAAGGAGAGGAATAGAACACACGAGGCAGGAACAAGCCTGCATATTCCTCCTCCTGAGTTCTGCAAATGGTAATTAGAGATGATGGATAATCAACACACTAGCTTGAAAAGGAACAGTTATCACTTCATAAATTTAAAAAAAAACAAAGAAACAACAAACCAACCAAAAAACCCTAATTTGCAATGAGACAGTCTTGGTTTTGAGTTGTGATGACAGCACTTGATATTCTTTATAACATCCTAAAGCCAAACTAGTTAACCTTCCCTCCTTCCCGCCCCGCTTCCTTTATCTTTTTAAAAGACAGGCAAACATCATGAGCAATAATTTAGCTGACTACTTATTCTGAGGATGAAAACTGTTAAGTATTGGAGTTCGTAGTCTACTGGACATCACCTTCCACACCCTCAATTTTAATAGTTCATCTTTAACGTCATCCTCATCCTACAGCATGTTTTACTATATTTTTTTAATCTGAATCAAAAATCAGAGCTCTTTACTAACAAAGCAACACAGTAAGTTACACAATGGTTGGGTTCCCTCTAGTAAAGGAATGTTGACTGCATGACTTAGTAATGTTTGTACAGTTTGATGAATATTCACTGGATAGGCCAACAAACCTGTCAACATAGCAACTAAAGTAACACGCAATGAAGGGCTAAAGATTAAGTTCTCCAGAATTGTTTAATAGTTTCTTTGTGGTATGAAACTCTGATTCTAAGATTAACCAACTATGTCTAGTTTATACAGCTCACCATCAAGGTCTGCCATGCACTGGAGAGAACCAGTGCCTCATGCTAGACAGAATGATAGGCAGCTTGCTTAAGCAGCAATATACTTCAAGTAAGTAGTTTAGAAAATTCTTTAGACATTTATTTCCCTCCTTTTGCTTCCAGAGCAATGAACTGTAGCATTTTTTAATTAAAAGTAGAAAGCCAAGGTATGAGCACACATACCAGCACACATCTTAGTATTAAGTTTAATGACAAAAATACTAACTTGTTAGATTGCCACAAATTATCTTCGCACACTCGTGACTGGCTGTTTTCTTTAACTTTTATTCCCTTCTCCCTCTGATAGCCTTCCCTTCAAGTGAACACCCTGAATGCCCTCTACAATGTCTTTAA